GTGATTGATCTTTTGTGCGATGTGGCGTATGTCTAGATCGGGGGAGGAGAGGAGGATAGGTAGCAGATTTTCGGCGAGGGGTGCGTAAGGCGAGACGGCGTCGCTTGGGATGAGAATAAGTTGTAATAAAACCCATGCAAAGCACTTTTGCCCCTCCTCGGACAGCTGCCTCGCTTTGAATGCCTCCACGAACGGAGTCCAGAAGATCGGAGGCTCGACGATAGCCTGCAACGTCTTTATGAGGTACTGACCATTACTAATCCTCTTGATCTTGGGCGCTTGCAGGTACAGCAGAGTGTCTGTGGCACGACCGTTAAAAAAAGTTTGAGAAAGATCAGACGTAAAAGCAGCCTGTAAAGATGGGAGACCATTCTTGCTCGCAATGATCCTGTCGATACAAGCAGGCGGATCTAGTTGAAGGCATAGAGCCTGCAGAAATTGAGAGCTTTGGGGTGCATTGCTCAACTCCTGGCCTTGAAGGACGCTACTGAAGAGTTTACTGAGCTTTGCTCCGCGAACACCACCGTTGGACATGATGGTCGCAGGTAAAGACGAGTTGACGGTATGCGTGGGAGAAACAACACCCGTATCCTCGATTCAGTGGAGCCGAAGTGACGTCTGTGCTGTAACCAAAGCTTGTCAAGCTTTGAATAGGCGCCTCGGAACACCGTGATCTTACTATATGAACAAGAAGGATCAGAAAGTGGCATCCAGGGTAAAGAAAGGGAGAGAGTTTACTTGAATGCTATAACTGGCGAGACGCTAGTCATCATCGACATCCTGTCTAAGAATGTCACTGTCATGAAGAGGGAGCGCTTTGATTCCAGTGTATTCATATTGAAAGACGCCGAATTTGTACCATGTACGGCCTTGAGGTAATAAGAGTCAGTTCGGCTGCCGGATAGTTGCGCCCACTGATAGTTAGTGTTTCGATAACGTGACTTGGCGCGACTCGGCGTGACTTCATATGACTTCGGCTTCAACGGCTTCACCAAGTCATAAATTTTGACAGCTCTGAAGCCAAGTTGCCGTCACGCCGAAGCCAGCCGTTGAAGCCATGACTTCATGCATTTCCTTCAAATGGAAAGTCACTTGTTGTTTAGGCAACGTGATATTCGAGAACTTGTCGGAGAAATAGCGGGAACTATCGGGCCGAGTGAAAATTGACCTAAAATAGTATTTCGGTATTTTTCAATCAAGTCGAAGCTCGGGCAACTTCAGGTCGCGTCAAGCCCCGCCGAGCCGATGCCGCAGTGTGACTTTGCCGAAGTTACTCGGCAATAGCGGCGTGACTTAGTTCGGCTTGACTGGCGTGGCGCGCGGCTTTAAGCCGAGTCATCGAAACACTACTGATAGTTGCCGTTTTAGGAAATCCAACTTGAACCAACTATCCAGCGCTTTTCTGCGCTCGTCCTGCGTGTTTTTGGGGACAGTTTTGCTTCTGGAACCCTACCAGAATGTACTGTCGCTTTGTTTACCAAGATGTGGACCTGAGTTCCACCGCTACATAGTGTATTGATTAACGTATTATTTGAATGTCATCATCAGTATCTGTGGACTTTTCCCCCATTGTAATACGGTTCTTGTTACTTTTTGAATAGGTCTTTACTTTATATATGCCATTGCATATCTGCAAGACACTGCTGGGGCTTCTGGCATAACTAACTCTTGACTGACATGGGATGTTCCTCTTGTTGCGTGTTCAGGCGACTTCTGCATGTTTCTACTCTGGATTAATCAGTAAATATGGGTTCCTTTTGAATTTTTTCTGCATCAAGCTTCGTGAAGTGGTTTGTCTTTGTACCGGAACTCTAAAAATCACGACACAGAGCAGGACTACTTTGGAAAGCTTGAGTTGAGTTCTGCAGCTAATAGACTACAGCAAATGCAATTCGGTATGAAGATCAACCTAATACTTATGAAACACACCAGGGAATATGCTCTTGCACCCAGCATCAAGCCCAGAAACACGCAGGACGAGCGCAGAAAAGCGCTGGATAGTTGGATCATGTTGATATTCCTAAAACGGCAACTATCCGGACCCAACTATCTGGCAACCGAACTGACCCTAAGGGGACGGCGCCATTTATGGACGGCGCCTGTTGGCATCGCCGGGGTGTATGGGATGTCGCAGGATGGTTCATCTAGGGTGATAGCGGTAATCGCATGGGCCGGAACTAAAGGGAGTAACCGATCCGTCGGTATCATACGACAATAGCCTGGTTGTGGCCACCATTTCTATCGCTGGCAGATCATTTCAAGAGGTTAAATACCTTGATGTCTTCCAGCGTGTAGAAAGCCTGCGTACCATACCATCACAAAGACTGCTAGGACTTTTGCACCGGATTTGACTAACGGTATTTGGCATCAAAACCCCTCTCATAACACCGCATGTCTTCTATTCTCCCTTTGTACTTATGTTTACATACAAATTTACACCAAATTTACCTATGGAAATACGCAACCTCACCAACGAACACGGCTAGGTAATTCCATAGGTGTTTACGGTGCAAAGATGGACGTAAACATAGAGACAAAGCCAGAAAGAAATACATACTGTTTTTGCAAGGGTCTTTATGTCGCCAAATCACGCAGCCAAAGACATTAAAGTTCTACCGGTCTTTCCGACCGCATTTTCAGGTGAGTACTTTCAGTCTAAATACACATCAAACCCTTGGAAGTCTACTCCTCCAGAATTCTGAGCCGACCGCAGCGGTGCGTGCTCATGGGAGGAACGAATCACTGAAATGTCAAGCAGTAGCAGCCTAGAAGGAACGAGCTCGAAACGACATTTTTGGAGTGCAGGTCCGGATCAAAAAAAAGACCTGTATGCTCGTCAGAAGGACAAATATTGATAGAAGCTTTAATGCTTACTTTATGACTTCAGCCAAATCTTTGCACAGCGAGAACGTTCCACAATCTCGCAGCACTTCCCAGACCGTAACTCGTAAATCGATATTTAGAGTGGATGTCCATCATTAGCGATGGGTCGACGGTGATATTTAGGCAATCGGCGGAAGTCTTGCGGGCTGTTGCCCCTGGGGTAACGGATCCTTGCCATCAATTAAGCGCTTCATATCAAAACGTGTGAGTTTGTGTGATGCTTAGGCCTGGGTAAATCGGTATCCGATACTTAGTCGAGAACATATCGCTCGATGTCTACGACGTGGATAAGCGTGAGCGCCGAAAAGCAGCACAGCAGAGGCCAATGCGGTAAAAAAAAAAATAGCCCTAAAATGTTTTGATTTAGCGAAGCTCTTCTCGGTCCTGAAAAGTCCGTCAGTAAAACGGTTTGGTTCACTTCTTCCCCTATGGAACAATGCACTTACGGTACCTTCCCGTTTTACAGCGCGTAAAACAAGGGCGTAAAATCGGAAGCTGAAATAGGTCTTGTTTTAGGCTATCAAAAGTTCACCAGCCTCTGCAGCGAAGGCTGGGGACTGGTACAAAAGAACACCTGCAATGATTGAGGAAGGATTCGAACAACCGACATAGCGTACGCACCTCTATCGATGTGCTCGATTCCATGACAAAGCCAACCTGCGTCACCTCAGTAGAAATGCCATGTCGAAAGCTAAAATCGCATGATATAAGTTACAGAATGACGACAAAGAAACCACGGACCTAGCCAAACTTTACTCTTCGAGCGTTCAACGTCAACGTGCAAAGCACGAGCAGGTCCTGCATACATTCCATAGAAATTTTCCTCTCCAAAGCAGAACCTGTGTCGAGCCGCTCCTAGGGTGCAACGCTGGCATCTTGGAACTAGTAAATCGATGCCTCGTTCAAGTCGGATTCTTGACTCGGAGTTCAAGACAGTTGTTCGGAGTGACTGTTGGAAACAACACTATTTCCCAGCCTGTTGAGATGTATTGGTCCATTCTGAACTGCATATACGCGTACCTCTGAGAGCCAATTCCTCTTCTAGTCGGATCTGGTACTTGTCTCTTCGGCATGCCTTCAATGAGTGACCATTTTACAAGGACAATAATCAAGAGTCATGACGGAGGGGAATCTCTTTTTTTTTTTTTGGGGGGGGGGGGTTAGTGCGTCGTTGTGGTGCTGGAACAAAGCAAGCAAGTTGGCTGTCACTTCAGAAACGCGAAGGACTTGGTACATGCCTAGGGTTAGGGTCAAGAGCGGAACCAGTATTAAATTTCCCACGGTTCTACGATCCCGCAAGTTCTCAACCTGATACTATGAATCTTTTACAGTCTTCGACGATGCTCTGTATGCATTTAACCTTTGTTTAACCTGCTAGATTTGACATTTCGGCCCTGAATTACTTTTGTTCGGCCAGTATTGTCTCTACCGCGCAACGACTGGCATTGCAACGAAGACTCACCATGGTTTCGGCCGATAGGGTCGTTGTTTTGTCTGGTCCCCCTCATAGATTGAGAAATGACATTGTCTATCGTTCTTCGCTGTCTTTCTACATGGACGTCGATGTTCGCTTCTACTACAGGCATTTTTACAGATGGAAGTAACACTTTGTGTCCCAAAATTCAACAAATATTCCTCTCTCGTGTTAGTGAGGAATTAGCATGCGGGTTTATCTAAAACTGTTGAGTGAATGAACAATCTTAGCATACACCTGGGTTAATTACCGGTAAGTTACCACCCCTCCCTGAAAGGTTTTCTTTTTCTTGGCAACTTGTGCCAGCTAAGTCAGTTTTCATTACAATCAAATGCATATTCTTTGTACAAAGTAGAGTTAGAGATATCCAATACTTCCAGGTGTATCACAGCTCCTGGGACAGAAAAAAGTATAAAAACGCGAAGACACGGAACCTGGAAAACAAATCTGCAATTGCTGCGTGCTAGTCATGTAAGTGAGCACGTGATAGGTAAGTAACATTAACTTTTGTACACGGACCCAGTAACTTACTGTAGCAAAACTAACCCTCCTGGGTAAGCAGTAACAAACAGTTGCTTACCCTGCGTGGAGATTTCGTGCGCAACCCCAATAAGGACAATAAAACAAACTATTCCCAGAGTAGCTGCCCCAGAGAGGCTCGAACTCTCGACCTTCCGATTAATTATACACATTCGAAAATGAATGATAACAGTCGGACGCTGTAACCAACTCAGCCATGGGGCACGACATCCCGTAGTGCCCCTGTTGCAAATATATTTCGACGGAAAAATAGAACTCTCTTTCACAGCCTTCCGCCTAGGGAGCTGCCAGGAGTCCCAAGTTATGCTTTTCATGCTTGAAGGCTCTCTGAAACTTCGACCATCAGAAATTCCCCCGTATGTGATTGTCGGTGCGTATACATCCGCGGAAGTAAAATACAAAGACCTAGGCCCGGGGGGTGAAGCAAAAAAGCAGCTGGGTTAATAAGCCTATGCCAACTATCAGAATCTCTGAAGACCGAAGGGCAGCGATGCCCGTTGAACTGCCAGTGATTTCCTCACAAACCGCAAAATTTGCTCCCACGGAATCAAACTGAAACAATTGTGGGGAAGTGCGGAGTCAAAGCGTAAGAGATCAACGGGCCGCCGAAGCGCGACGACGACTCGCCATGACGCGACATACGCCAGCTCAGGATAATAGAGCTGTCCTTCAGGTGCAACAATCTGAGAACGCAGTCGCACAACAATCAATACGGCGACAATTAATACGCCAGGAAACACGATAAACCGTATGCTCAAAGGCGATCGTCGGGAAAAAGCTGTCAGGACGGGAAGAAGGGAGTTGCGATAAAACAATGAGCAGGCGGGGGGAAAGCGGCGGAGCTATTGTTCAGCGATTTTATTGTCTTTGTTTTCCAGAAGCGCGTTGTCGCGACGATCCGAGAATGGCATGTGTTGAAGGGCGTTGTTTGGCTGTTTGTCTAAAGCCTTGTTATTGTGCGCAGGGTTTTTGTTTGCCTAAAGTATAAGACCATGGCCGGGCACGACGAGGACGACCACAGCGAGCCAGTCTCCTTCCAATACTCTTAACGGTGAGCAGCGACCTTTTCGGGCTTGCCGACGATGCTGACGACGACGAGCAGACCTAGACATACCCAGCATACCCATACTTACTTATTCTACATACCCCACGACCATCATGTCCCGCCCACGATCCTCGACAGTCTCCTCGTTCACCGCCAGCATTACCACCTGGGCGTCAGCGGTCCATCCAGGCTCACCAGCGCCTCTCTCACCGCGGAGTGCCAACGCGGGAACATTCCCCGACACGCCCGCAACGTCCAAATCCGTGTATACCCCGACGTCTGCCCACTACGCCAAATTCGATTTGACGAATCTCGGCTACACATCTGTGTTCGTGCACCTGCCCAAGACCCCGTCTACGCCATCATATCTTAACAATAGGCCTAATCACACCCGTAACAATAAGAAAGACAATAAGCCCGATAATCACAATTACCCCTCCTCCCATAAAGACGAACTCGGCAATGTCTCCTCTCACCAGGCGAAGAAAACTCCCTTCTCGCTCCTCTCTCGTTCTCGCGCACGCTCTAGATCCATGTCTGTCCCCGCAAAGTCGAAGAAGCACGCGCAGCAGCTGCCCCCGACGCTCATGAACGAGCTCATGCTCATGCAGTTCACGAGTGGTGGGAAGATGAGCACCCACATCACCCGTGTCATGGACGCCCAGACCAAGCAGCAGGGCAACCTTCCCGTTGGTACTCGTGCCGACGTCTACCGCGACGGCACCGGCCGCGTTTGGTGGGACCGCGATGAGCAGATAGAATACCAATGGCTCCTCCAGAAAGACGACCTCGATGCCTCTGATTCCTCCGACTCCGAAGGCGAAGAAGCGCCCTCCCAGTGGGTCAAGTTCCGGACAGAGTCTCTTGATGCTCAGGTTCGTCTCCTTTCCTTCTCTACTTTTATTCGTACCCATTCTGATTATCACATTATAGAAAGTCAAACTCGCACCGATGACTCTCCAGCCCATCCTCACTGCCGATGGCAAGAAGAAGCGTCCTACACCGCTTAACCTTGCCAGGAAGGAGTTCCTCGAGCAGTCTTTCATGCCGCCGACCGCTCCTCTCCCTCCCATTCCCGTATCGGCTCCTCGTCCCATCCCATCTACCCATGCCCACTCGCACACCCCGAAAAAGTCAAAGATGAGTGTCAGGGGATTCTTCCATAGGTCATAGATATCCTGGTAGGTTTTCTCACCCTTCACCGTCCTCAAGTTACTTACCGTTCCCTTTCTAGCGCTGGTCGTTGTACTATATGCATTCACCGCATACTCGCTCTTTCAACATACCTGTATTCTTATTCCGCAGCTCTACCTCTCCTTCACCGCTGCCTCTGTAGTAGTTAACACAACTGTAGCTTTATATCTATCTAATACTTACCGTCTTCTTCGACGTCCTATGTTTATGTACGTACAAAGCACTTAGGGAGAACTATTGAATATATGTCTTGATTAGAAATGCATGTCATGGGTCCGATTTACCGTAGCCATGAAAGCGCGTCATATGTTGAGGATTGCACTTTTTGCTTGCCGTTCAATATGCGTCGTATGCCGTGTCTTTCCATGTCCCTTACTACGCGTACTCTCTTCTGTTCCCTTTAAGTATTCGATTTTCCGCGTGGTTTCTATCGGTCGGCGGCCTGGGAGCTGGGCACGCTTCTGGCTTGGGAAGCGTTGAGTTACGGTGTGGATAAGTACTATGACCACCATTCCCGGACCGGTATGTTATGGATATCGTGTCTTTTCCAACTGGTGCACGAGTCAACGCATGCCTGCTCTCGGCCTTGACCTCAGCTTACTCGTACTTTCTCTCTTCTTCTTGCTGACAAGATGCTAGAAACGGAACCTTGTAGATTATTAATGACTCAATATATTACTAGTAGTATATATATTTTGTCCTTTCGTCAGTTACACCTAGCGCCTGTTAGCACCCTTATCGGATCCCTCTTGGGGGTTGGGCACGGTGAATTTCGCGTTTGCATGATGCGTTCGTGCGTTCGCTGTGTTTGCATTAAATCTGCATGCGTTTGCGTTATTGTGCATGTGTGGGGAAAAACGCGTTGTTTTGCTGTTTTGTTTCCAATACATGATTAGGCCTGTATTCCACTGACACTGTTAATATTCGACTATCATTTTACTCTCGGGTGCTCCAAAAAGTGGAAGGCAACATCAGCGGCTGCAGAGGTCGGCATTGGGCAATACAAGAATCAGACTCAAGATCCGAGTCATAGCAAGGCAAACCCGAGTAGGCGACCAATCAAACGCTCTCACAAACGAAACGAACAGATACTAGCACTAGAAAGCATTTATGTATAAGTACCAGCCGAGCGTAGGACGCCATAGCGCACTGAAGCTAACAGCCAAGTCGTTGTGGACATGAAGGACGGTAAAGAAGATGGCGGTGCTCACCCTCCCGGAGTCGAAAAGGGTATGCCATTCACTATACCAATGTTAGTAAGCTTGTACAGATGAAACCATTCAGTCCAAACCAGCAAAGGGTAAACGAAAAAATGGAGACGGCGGAAAAGGCGATCGCGAGGGGAAGAAACTTCGTGGTCCGGATCGATATCGGCTATACCATGTATGATTATTGTTGCCAGTAGTGTTGTCACACTGCACAGTGTATGAATAGCGTCAGTGTATGATCAGTGTCGATTATTATCGGAGTAACTTTAGTGATGAAAACTGCTTAAGCAAGGTATGATAGTCGTCGACCGGCGACCGCTAGTCGGAAAGAATCGGGGAATCTTACATTTTTGGAAGGCCATGCAAATCACATGACTTGAAAACGGCGAATGTCGTTGATGCACATTGCAGATACGAGTTCCGCGAGTATATAATAAAGCTGGACTTGCCAGGCTATCGTTTTACTTTTGATATCTGACGCAACAACCGTTAAATGACCCATGCACACTCTGCCTCTGTTTCCTGCAACGAGTCCGATTCGAGTAGCTGGTCGACTAAGTTTCTGACGTCTTCTTCAGTTCTGTTCAAGAAAAAATGGAGAGCAAAACACCCACACGCACGTTCATCGTTCGAGCACAGGTAGATGTTTCACTTCTCCGTAATGACCCAGGTTGCCGTCTCGAACGACCCTCTACCGTCGATAAAGATATTCACCCAGAGGCCGTCTTAGAGGCCATGCTCGGTCACGCCACTGGAGCCGAAGAAGACGACAGCAAAACGCCTCGTCGCTACGTCGCCTGTGCAGTCACTACCGCTGGCCAGGACTATGGCATTGAGCAGCTGATAGAACTGGCTAATACCTGGGTCCGGTACCTCTTCTGGCCTTGTACGTAGCTACTCATTTTTTTCGTCTGCAATATTGACTATTTACTGTAGTCAAAGCTAATAAAAGTGATATTCGAGGGCATCATTCTGCTTCGGAAATCGCTACACCGACTCTCAATGAGACCGAAACCTTCCATTTCGAGGGTAGTCGTCTACATAACAGAACGTTCGAAGATATGGTGCGTATCAAATATGCCCATCGAATGCATTGTGCTCCTATATGTGCTCTCAGGTGAAAGAACGTGATGGTTCTCGCTGTATTATATCAAAACTTATCGATTGGAAATCAACTACTCTGGATTCGACAGATCTTACAGCGGACGTTGAAGCAGCTCATATCTTCAAGAGGGCGGCGGCAGCCGGAAAGCGTTCCAAGGTGTGCCTTGCCGTCCATTTACTAGATCTTCAAATGAGTATAAATATGATATAGAATTCTTTGGCCGAGTATGCCACTTGGGATATTTTGCGCCACTTTATTGCTCTGTCCGAAGAACAGGTCGCCGAACTTGATGATAACATCGACTATGTCTACAACGGAATAACGCTGGAACACACTCTTCATTCGATTTTTGATCAATTTGGGTGGTCGTTGCGTCCCGATGTAAGCTGCTATCTTATCGTTCTTGTGGGCATATTGATAGGATATAACACCAGCCTGATCATCACGACCGGTACCACCTCGAATATTTTATTCGCAATGCTCCGGGGATAATGGGTATCCGTAATAGTAATATTGATGTCATCTCCTTTGAAGGATGTTCGGCTGAACTTCGACCAAGCCGCCAGCTCATTCAATTCCATTACTCTCTTGCCAAGGTTTTGCGTGTTAGTGGTGCAGGAGAGGTCATTGAATCTATGATGAAGCGATTCCT